AGAGGATGCTGGAAAGGATGGAGGATCAGGTTGTCCACAGTGAGCCTGGAGGGATCAGAAAGCAGCCGTGTGGGTGACATTCATTTTCCCTTTTCTTAGTGTCACACCGCATTGAGCCCACTTCACCAAGCCTGCACTGCCAGAGGGGACGTCAGAAAGCCATTCCAGAGGCACTTGGGTCTATTAAGGCCATTTTTTCAGCATTTTCATAAATTGTCTATGAAGCCTATCATGAGTAATTTGCACTTCTTGGAAGCTCTTTTTTCCCCCCATGAAATATTCAAGTGTCCCATTCCTTTGTGTCAGGCAGTGCTGGCGGCCGCCCCTGTTCCTGTTGGCCTCCGTACCTGGCCGTGGCGTGCTGGCTGCAGGGTGTGTGACTGTGCCATCTAGCCTTTCTGAGCTTCTGTGTCCTCATTGTGTAACTATGCTACTTCGTGGGATTGTTCAGAAAATTAAATGAGATAATGGCGCCTGACACATCGTAGGTCCTCAGTGAATGTCAACTCCCTTTCTTCTCCCTCCTCTTTCACATCTGCAACCAGGACAAACCTGGTTTCCATGGCACTAACATAGCAGGTATCACCTGATAAACAAGAACTTCACTCAGGTCTGGAATCCTAGCACTTTGAGAGGCTGAGGTAGGTGGATCATTTGAAGCCAGGAATTTGAGACCAGCCTGGGTAACATGGCGAAACCCCATCTCTACTAAAAATACAAAAAAATTTAGCCAGGCATGGTGGCACACACCTGTAATCCCAGCTGCTCTGGTGGCTGAGGCACAAGAATTGCTTGAATCTGGGAGGCAGAGGTTGCACTGAGCCAAGATTATACCGCTGCCCAGCCTGGGCGACAGAGCGAGACCTTGTCTTAGCAACAACAACAACAAAGAATTTCAGACCAGAAAGCCACGTATTGATCAGCATTGCAAAGTTTTAGGGTTCCGTGAGGGTAATTCACCCCAGTACTATTCTACATGAGACAAATTTGGGAAAGTATGCTTTTGGGAAGGTGTTTACAGTCTGGATCAAGGGAGGTTTTATTAATAACAATTTTCTGTATATTTCCTCTTGGTGAAGAGCAAAGCATAGCACTGGGAAGTAGGGATCCAAGTGTAACTGGTGTGTCTGTGGGGATAGGAGTGTGTGTGTGTGTGTGTGTGTGTGTGTGTGTGTGTGTGTGTGTGTGTGTGTTTATAACGTGCACTCTTTGCCACATAACCATGAGCCTTCTCCCACTGTGGCCCAAAGCACTGCTTTCTTTTATGGCAAGGCCATAAAGTAAGGATATTTAAAGCTGAAACTAGGATGTGCGGTCTGAAAGGTACCTAAAGTCCATCTCTGAAACCTGTGCCATGTGGCCGTGTTCTCAAACTTCAGCCTGCCTCGGAATCACTGGAAGGGCTCGTTAGGGTGCAGATTGCTGGGCTCTGCCCTTAGAATTTCAGATATTGCTTTTTCAGTGCCAGGCAGAGAGGTGGGGTGGGGCAAGAGAATCTATATTTCGAATACGTTCCCAGTTGATACAGATGCTGTTGGTCTGTGGACCACACTTTGAGAACCAGTGACCTATAGAAAGTCCACCTGTACCCCCGTCAATCTAGATGACTTCTGCTTGTGTGATTTGATCTTTGCACATTCAGCCCTGCTTTCTCTTCTCCTTTGCTGGGGGCTTATGTGCTCATCAAATAGTGTTACCAGGCTGGCTGTGGTGACTCATGCCTGTAATCCCAGCAGTTTGGGAGGCTGAGGTGGGAGGATCAGTCGAGGTTAGGAGTTTGAGACCAGCTTGGCCAACAAGGCGAAACCTGTCTCTACTAAAAATGCAAAAATGAACCGCCCATGGTGGCACATACCTGTAATCCCAACTACGGTGGGTGGGGTGGGGAGCGCTGAGAACTACTTGAAATGGAGAGCTGGAGGCTGCAGTGAGCCAAGATTGCACCACTGTACTCCAGCATGGGCAACAGAGCAAGACTCCATCTCAAATACAAAACCAAAAAGCAGTGTTGCCAGATCTAACAAATAAAAATATTGGATGCCCAGTTAAATAAGTATTCTGGATAAAAAAAGAAAAACTGTTTAGTACAAGTATTTCCCAGATATTACGTGGACATACTTATGCTAACAAAAGATATTCATTGTCTGAAATTCAAATGAACCTAGATGTTCTTCGTTTAATATGGCAACTTTTTCATCCAATTGAGGGTCAAGTGTCTCTCTCTGTCCCTCTCCCCCTGTCTCCTGCTGCTGCTTTCCTGCGACTGAACAGGCTAAAGCTGCCAAAGAAACAAGCCCAGAGAGGGTTTGTGTTTTCTGGACAGATCCACCTGCTGCCCGAGCTCACCTGGCAGACTTGGCTTGGTCTCAGCCAGGATGGATGTGGCTCCTCTTCATTTTGGTTCTCTTGCTGGCTCTCTGCTTTTTTCCTATCTATTCCTCTTCCTCTCTCTCATGCCTTCTTTTATGCCATCTCTCTTACGAGAGCTCTAAAAGGCAGGAATCTGCAATCTGCTGATCCAGGAAGAGTCTGTTCTCCACAGCAAGACGGGAGTCCAGGAGACGAGTGACCTCCCAATGTTGGAGAGAAAAGTGACATCTGGCCTAGAGAGAACACAGAGGTCACCTACAAGCTTACCATGTATTATGAAAAGGACAACATTTGCCTTGGAGAAGTGTGCCTGGAAGGGCTGGCTCGAGGGGTCATGGTTGGAGTGGGACAGTGTCCAGGGCTTGAAGGAAATTGACACCATGTGGTCTCTGATGATGGCAGAGGGAGCCCACTACTGTGGACTTGATCATGCATGGAGGGGCAGAGAGAAACTTGAGCAATCCAAGGCCTCCTGGAGCCTTGGGCTTGGACTCCATGTCCTCCTAAATAGCCCCATTTGTCACTTTCTCTTGCCAAGGCTGCTGAATGCTGAGGATGGAGCAATGGAGGAACAGAAGGCTTGGCTGCTTCTCTTCACTTTGCCATCCCCTTTGTTGTCTGTGGGCCTCAGGCCTGTGTCCTCCCCCCTCTTTGCTATGAATAGCTCTCCAAGGCCAAAGAAGTAGGTCATAACCTCAGAGGAACGAGAGGGTGCTCTTGTCCATGGTCACCCCAGGGCCTAGCCAAGGGGCCCTGTGTGCACTGCCCTGCTTTGAGGGCAGCATTTGTCCTCCTGTGTCCCCAGCATGGCGTGCAGAAGGACAGTGGGATGCTGCAGGACGGGAGAGCGAGAGGAAGCCCCGTCTCCTTGATGCACTTACTTGCTCTGTGTGGGACCCAGACACTCCTTGCTGAATAAGAGGGTCTATTTTTCTTTCTGTATCAGACACCAGGAAAAACTGTTCCGCTGTGCACAGTGGCAGGCACAGCGCTGGGCAGAGAAGGAAGATGAGGATGACACCTCCTATCTCCGTCGGGCATCTGCCGTTCCGAGCGCCCTCACGCACTGTCTCCTTGGCTCTCTGTCGCAGCCCAAGGAGGGAGGTTGGCAGGCGTGGCTCTCCCGGTTTGTTCACTGGGGACACTAAGCTCTGAAGACATGACAGGCCAGCCCAAGGTCACACAGCCAGTGAGCAACGGACACCATGGCCATATGACAGATGACCATCCTCTCCCAGCGGCCAGATCTGCCTCTCCCCTCTTCTCTGAGGAGTCCCTCTGGCCAACTCCACTTTGGTCTGGATGCTTTCATCTTCTCTTTCCTGGCTGGTTCCCTCTTCTCCAGCTTCTCTCCCTATGGCCCTGCTCTCTTTGTGGCCTGTCAGGGAAATACTTGGGATTCCCCAAAGGGCAAGACAGCAGGAAGCCATGTACTCCCCATTCATGCTGCTGTTCCTTCTCCAGCCTGTGGGGCTGGAGACATTTGAGAGGCCGCATGGATGGTGAGGCCAGTCGAGGTCCTGAGGCTCCCAAGGTCAGGGATGGGAGAACTGGCCTTGCAGGAGGGAAACAAGGCTCCCCATGCGCTGGGTGGGAACTGGCGTTGTGTGGGAGGCTCCCAATACATGCAGGGAGTGTGTGGGCTCTCAGGTCTGCTGTGGCCCACAGTGTGCTCCCCCAGGGAGATAAGGCAGCAGTGACCTCCCACTGCCCCAGCCCCTGGCCCACCAGGCATGCTACCCCAGTCCCTAGTGGTTCTGGCTGGGGTTTCCTTTCTGATGTTGCATCCATGCTTAACATAACCACCTTTAGTCTGTTAGCCACGTGGCAGGGCTTGTGTATTTGCAGAAGGAATGCATGGCTGTCTACACCTCGTCCCTGCCCAGAGGTGCAGCTATGGAGGATATGGATGAGGAAATCAATGGAGTCTGCCACTCTGGGAATGTGTGTTCTAACTGGAGAAACCCAGCTGGGCAAAATCAGTAGCTCCTCGTCAATGAAGCATTTGGAAAGAGGGGACTGGGGAAGGGGTGGAGGGATGGCAGAGGAGACTTCACGCTGGCTGAACACAGAAGAGACCAGCGGAGGATGCCTGTGGCATGTCTCACTCAGGGAGACTCTTTCGCCTCCCTGGCCACTGGCTTCTTTGACCATCAGACGGATCCTGTGAGGCATCTAGAGAAGGGACTGTTCACTGTTTTGCAGGTGGGATTTCACAGTGCCGTGTTGATGGGCTTGCCCAAGCCCCGCAGAAGGTGGAGCCCAGCTTTCCTGCCTGGCCCCCAGGAATTCTCCACAAAACCACAGGCTCCTCCCTGTGTCCCTTTGCCTAAAAGAGCCATTTAGAGCAGGCTGTTTCTGTGCCTTGTTGGGGTCCTTTTTGTCAGCCAATCACTGGGTTTTTCTTAAGCCGCCCTAGGAGCCTGTCTCTCCGGGAAGTCTCTGTCCTCAAGGAGCTCACAGCTTGAGTCCCCGCAAAGACTTGGTTTCCCCACTTTCCTTCCTCCCCACTTCTGGCTTCTTCCACCTGGGAAGCTGCAGGGAGGTGATGCCACTGGCAGGACAGAGGAGACAGAAGGCAGCCAGACTGAACCCCTGTTTTCACCATTGCATATTCTCCCCGACGCCAGGTCCCGGCTGGCCGACTTCCATGCCAATTGTCGAGCCTCCTACCACACGGTCACCAGCTGCCCTGCAGACAATTACCAGGCGTGTCTGGGCTCCTATGCTGGCATGATTGGTAAGCTCTTCCTGCACACCTGGGCTCTGTCCTTGCTGCCCCCATCTTAGCAGGGCAGGGCAGCCCAGCTGAGGGCCAGCTGGAGGAGACAGCCTGAGCCCAGCTTTCTCTGCAGCAGATTCAGAGAGACCTGTGAGGAGAAACCAGTGGGAAGGCAGCTCTGTAGCAAGGAGGAGGGCCGCACTCTTTATCATGGGTGGAGGAGGGCCCCAGGGGCCTTCTAAGGCTCTTGAAATAGGAAGCAAAGGTAACAATTCATTGCACGGTTCTGACATTCCAGGCTCTGTCCTGAGCAGTTTACAGGGACTGTCACTGAATTCTCCCAACAGCTCTTGCTAGTGGGGTGGTGACATCTCCATTTCCTAGATGAGGAAACTGAGGCTCTAGAGAAGTTGAGTCACTCGCGCAGGCTCACCTCGCCGATCAATGTTGGCACTGGGCTCAGATCGCAGGATGTGAGTGTCATTCACTCTGATTTTAGAACACCGGGAAAGGAGAAAGCAGGGGCCCACGCTCTGGGAGGGGCTCCGGGGCCTCTTCTCTCCCTTCCTGGTGCTGAGGAGCCCAGTGTCCTCTATGCTGTGGCCCTCTGTCCCTGCTGACCCTATGGTCACTGGGATAGTCATGCTCAGAGTTAGCAATGTGATAGTGTCAGATGTGTGTTTGGGGGCCAGGTGAGAGGATGGGTACGTGCCTGGGGTCAGTCTGTGGGCCCAAGGGGAAAACCCCCACCACAGCCCTCTCCTCTCCCTCACCTTTCTCCCTGCCCAGGGTTTGACATGACACCCAACTACGTGGACTCCAGCCCCACTGGCATCGTGGTGTCCCCCTGGTGCAACTGTCGTGGCAGCGGGAACATGGAGGAGGAGTGTGAGAAGTTCCTCCGGGACTTCACCGAGAACCCGTGTCTCCGTAAGTTCTGGGATGTTCTCCCCAACCCCAGCAGGCCCTCCCCCCACACCGCCGCGGAGTCTCTCTTAGCCATTCCCATCTCCTCCCATGGGGTTGGCTGCTGATGTACATGAGGCTTCTCTGCCATGGGCCTTGCCCATGAGGACCTTGGGTTTTTAGCTCTTGGAGATTCTCACCAGTAGGTCAGCTTCAGTTTACCACCAGAGGCCTTGAACTTAGGTCAAGCCTGCTATCTGGTCTGGTCTGTTATTGGGACAGCTTCAGCCAGTTTCCCTTGGAGACTGAGCCTTCTCCTGAGGACCTCTGGTGTCTGTCATATCTCCCTTTAACAGGCTTGTTTCTCCTTGGAATTGACTTCCATTCCACATCATCAAACTCCTAACCCAAAAGCTAGAGGGAGGTAGCCACAGGCCGGCTCAGTCCGCCTTTGATCTTTCCAGCCCAGCACTCATTGCCGCCCATGCACACCTGAAGATTTCTTATCTCTTTCCTTCCCTCCGTTATTTATTCTGTGCACCCATCCATCTGTTCCTCCCTCTGTGTATGGCCCTGGAGAGTCAGGGATCCAAGTCATTAAGGAGGGGGTAGCTGATAGAGGTGGACCGAGAGGGGTCACTCAGGATCCCAGCGCAAGGGGAGCTGCTCTAGGGGAGGGGTCTGCACGGGGACCTTGAGGAGTCCAGGGTAGGGCCAAGTCAGCCAGGAAGAGAGAGGCCCTGAAGGCTTCTTGGAGAACGTATCCGTGAATGGTTAGCTAGGCATCGGTCAGTTGAAGAGTTAGGGAGTGCCTGGCAGAGGTGCGGGGCTCCACAGAAGACCATGGCAGGTGGAGAGTCCTGCCAATCATGTAGCCTTGCTACATAGCACTGAAGATGACCGGAGTGACAGAGTTATCTGGACAGGTAGACAGCATCCTTGTCACTCAGGGCCTTGCAGGCCTGAGGTATTTAGATCTTCTTGTCCTGCCGGGGTGACAGTGGTGGTGTGAGTGTTTGAAGGAATGTCAGCAGGGGATGTTGAGATCAGACTGACGTCCCAGAAAACAAATCTGCCTGTGGTGTGAGGCAGTGGGGGTCAGAGAGATGATTCCAACAGGTGACCTGACACAGAGAGGCCCATCAGAAGGCCGCAGTAGCCGCTCACAGGGGCACACAATGGTGGCTGTGGACCAGAGCATGGGAGGGGAACAGTGATGGGAGACGGGGTGGAGGGATCCTTAGGAGGTGGGCTAAGCAAGCTGCCAGCGGGTATGCAGGGAGGCACCATGGGTGACCCTCAGGAATCTGACAGGGGGGAGCTGGGTAGGTAAGAGATGACACCTTCAAGGCTGCAGTATGAGGGGTCGGGGGAAAGTAGCGCTGACAAGGGCAGGAGGAGACGTCCAGCCCAGGCTTAGACATGACAAGTTTGACATGCATGTGGCATGTGGAGGCGGAGATTTTCTGGGCACCTCTGTGGATGGTGCGGGAGGAGCAGAGGCCACCCAGGGAGAGTCTGTGTGGTGTGGAGCAGGCAGAGGGCTGAGTGTGGGGCCCTTGTGTGCCAGGGTGGGGACCTGGGAACGTCCAAGGAGGCACAGGGGCCGGAAGAGCCTGTGACTAGGGAGCTAGGGGTGAGGAGCTTCTGGAGGCATGGCTGGTGGCACCATGCAGAGGAGGTGACCCCTCCTCCCCAAGGCTCCCCTGTGCCCACCCCCTTCCTTTTCTCCTTTTCTCTTCTGTGTTCCCCATCATGTACACTTCTTGCTATTCTGGCTTCTCTTTTTTAACCTCCCTCTTGCTATATTCTGTAGGCATGACACCTTTGTAGGTATCTGAAAAAGAGGTTCAGCAGAGGGAATCTGGCTGTGCTGTGCTCTGTCCTGGTTTCTGGGCTATTCCAGGGAAGGGGATGGTCAGGGTGAGGAGGGTGAGGAGGGTGAGGAGCAGAGCCAGGAGTGATGGATGTGGGTCCTGACTTCTCTGCATCTACCCTCACCCCCATCCCAGGGAACGCCATCCAGGCCTTTGGCAATGGCACGGATGTGAATGTGTCCCCTAAAGGGCCCTCATTCCAGGCCACCCAGACCCCTCGGGTGGAGAAGACGCCTTCTTTGCCAGATGACCTCAGTGACAGCACCGGCCTGGGGACCAGCGTCATCACCACCTGCACGTCTGTCCAGGTGAGGGGGTGTGGCTGAGGCATGGGGGAAGCACCGTGGTGCTAGAAGTGGTGTGGGAAATGACTCAGCTGGGGCTGGGGGGGAGGGGCTTCCCTTTCCATCAGGGACCCTGAGAAGCAGCAGGGAGCTGCCAGAGGGTCATTTTCACCAGTTCCTTCATTTAGGCATTCATCTTGCAAGTGCAAAAGCCTGTTACATCACAGTATTATAGTGCCCTGCAGGCTGTGCGGTTTGAAGAGCAGGCAGTGGGGCACAGCCTCGGCACAGGTGCAGGGGGAGCAGGGGGAGCAGGTCCTGGCCATGTGTGGGGCCGTGAGACACCCGTCTTGAGTGGAGCAGGAGGCTTGTAGGGTCAGGAGTGCACATCCATAGCCAGGATGCAGGCTTGAGCAGGCCCCAGCCTGGTAGGGGTTCAGGTCCCTCCTGGGCACCCATTGCAGAAGTGCATGTGCCTGTCCCTGTTAGGGAAGTCCCCTTCCTTTTCTTTCTGCCTCCCTCCCCTTCCCTTGTGGGCTCCCCTGCTCAGTAGCAGCTGACCTCCAAGTGCCCTCCTGGCGGCTCGCTGGGGAGCTCTTCCACGTCCTGTCCCTCCACTTGGTGCCCCTCCTGATTGGAGCTGAGGTGCTGCTGTCACCCTTGGGCAGCTCCTAATGACAATGGGCATGCTTGGGTGGCCGTGAGCAGGGGGCTCAGGGTCCTGCTCCACAGACAATTGTTCAATTTCATGCTAGAGCGGCAGGCAGCTCAGCTGGTCAGGGCTGTGCCACCTGTCAGGTCCTCCAGACCCTACCAGCCTCTGGCATGCACCCTTCGTCTGGAGCCCGTTGGGCCGGCCCACCCTGGGAGAGGCTGACTCAGCAGGACACTGGCAACCTTCCCAGGATGCCCATGTGGTTCCTTGTGGGCATAAAGTCCAAAGCTGTGGCTTTGGGACCCTAACCTCAGTCCCCTTCACCATCAGCCCTGATGATTCGAGGCCCATTTAATTATTTTGCCAAGGCATCGGTTGCTTGGTTTCTTTTAGTCCCAGCCTAGTTGTCTGTGGTCTTGCTGTCAGGGGGCTTGTTCAGATTTTGGTGTGATCTCAGTGGACATATGGGTGACCTGCGTGTGAGATGATGTATGGGAAAGTGCTTAGTCAGTGAGGGAATGCTGCACAAACATTGGGCATTATGAATCCGGGGCTGGGAAGGCTGCCTGGCAGGTGGCTGGGGTCTCCTGACTAAGTCAGTCTGGGCAGGACAGCCAAGACAGCCCTCCCAGGAGGAAAGGGAGAGAAATAGACCCTGAAAAAGGGTCAGCCACTGCCACTCTCCAGGTTTCTTCTCAGAGAAATGGAAGGGGAAGGGCCCCTGACTCAGTTTTGATTATCATCTTTTTGGCAAGCACCTTCTCTTCCATGCTGGGAGCAAGAAGTGTCAAGTGAATCAGCCTTCGACCCTGCCCTTGGCTCACTTGGCGCTGGTGTGGGTGCCTCCCCTCCTCTCCAGCCCATATCTGTCTCCTGTCTCAGCTCCCCTAGCTTGGACCATCTCTGAATGAGTGGCTCTGTGGTGGCCCTTGTGGGCCCCTTGGGTGTTAGGGACACCTATAGCTATAGAAGGGAGTCCCTGAGTGATCGCAGGGACAGAAAGCTGAGCCTGGGTGGGAGGGAGGGTGGGGGGAGCCTGTACACCCCAGATACACCTTGGAGACACAGGCAAGGTCAACCGGGCGCAGTGGCTCACACCTGTAATCCCAGCACTTTGGGAGGCTGAGGTGGGCGGATCACAGGAGATCAAGACCATCCAGGCCAACTTGGTGAAACCCCGTGTCTACGAAATAAAATACAAAAATTAGCCGGATGTGGTGGCATGTGCCTGTAGTCCCAGTTACTGAAGAGGCCGAGGCAGGAGAGTCACTTGAACCCAGGAGGCAGAGGTTGCAGTGAGCCGAGATTGCGTTACTGCACTCCAGCCTGGTGACAGAGCGAGACTCTGTCTTAAAACAAAAAACAAAAAAACAAACAAAAAAAGAGAGGCAAGATTATTTTACTCACCTCTGTCCTCCTCCGTCTTTCCTTCTTCCTTGGGGCAAGGCTTAGGGACCTGCAGAGATGATAGCATAGCCAGTTGGGTCCCAACATGGATATCCGTATGTCAGGGCTCGAAGGACCCTCCAACATCTTCCCTAACTCAAGTGACAGAGGCCTGGTGAGGACAGCCGCTTGTCCACAGCCCCACAGCCAGTTGGCAGTTGAGAAGGGCCAGGAACCCTGCCCCTTGGCCACCTTCTGCTTCCTCCTCCTCCAAACCCCCCACAAAAGACTTTCCCATGGTGGGAGTGGGGCTACTGAGTGGGGCTGTGGGAGTCTTGGGTACCACCAAAGTAGAGCCAGGAGCTGGGCCCCCTCTGCGTTGGCCCTGGGTGTCTTAGGTCCTGCTCTTCTAAGTGTCTTCTTCAGGCTGTGGCTCCCTCTCCAGGCAGCCCTGCCTGCCTGGGGCTCTGTGGACTTTGGAGAGGCCTGGTGGGGTCTGCAGAAAGGCCTCTCCTGGGGACTTCTGTCCTAGCCCATGTATATCAAATATATACCTTGTCTGAATTCCCTTGCCCGTCTATCCATCCCATTGGCCTCTAGAGCAGGGAACCTGAGTGTAAGGTCAGTCTTGGACACCTGCAGGATGGGTGAGCCAGCTGCTGGCCTGCACTTGGCCATTCCTCTGAGGAAAACACCTCTCCCTGCCCTCTCCCACCCCTCTCCACCTGGTGAGTCCTACCCAGCTCGTTTTGGGAATGCCTTCCCTGATTGCATCCGCACCAGGCTACCTTCTGCCTCTTCTGGGCTCCCGCTGTGCTTGTT